CTGCCCCCCCCCCCCCCCCCGTGGGAACCAGGCATTAAGTCACAGGGCTGGCAGCCCTCCAGGGGAAAGTGTTTCATAGCGCCCACGTCCATGCTGCTCTGGGCTCCTATCAGAGGAGGCAGATGCAGGCAATTAGGGTAGTTCCACAGTCTGGGACACTCGGTCCCCCAACATGGGATCGTTGCCTGGGTCCCTGTTCTGGATGCTGAGCCCTTGAGCTTGGCTCCGTCTCTCCGGTGGTGGGGAGTACAGAAGGCTAGGAGGGGAAACACCCCTCCCCATCTCTGGGTGGCTGACCTGGATTAGACCTGGGACCCTGGCTAGCGGTCCAAGGCTGTAGCAAGCTCCTCGGTCGCTAGGGATGGCCCACTCACCACTGGGGGGGGGCAGGTTGGAGGGGTGTCTTTCTGGGTCCCCTGTGAGGTGGGGGACTGCACCCTGGGGAGAGGTTGGCACCGTGCCAGGTCTGTGTCTCTCCCCTGCCCAGGCTGATGGTGAACCTGACCCAGCCGGCTCTGCTGTGCTTTGGCAAAGTCCCGCACGACCCCAGCTCCCGGCACTGCTTCCTGCAGGTGGTGTCCTACCTGCAGGCCTACAAAGAGGTGAGGCCGCCCCCCCCTTTGGGTCCTGGGGTAATGGGGCTGGGGGTTAAAAGCAGCCACCTGTCACAGTCTGATTCAGGGCTGAATGGGTTGGAGGGAAATGGGGGGTGGGGCATGTCAGAAACCCGGGGTCTTTCCAGCCCTGGATGCCCCTGTTGTGCCAGCGGGTAGAGCGGGGGGCTCTGGGGTTGGGACCGCCTGGGAATTCCACATCCAGGGGCCTGGACCTGTAAGTGCCCCTCTCTGTCCCTTGCCCGTTCGCTCCCCCCCAGAGCTGGCCGCCTTGGAGTTGGAAGGGGGGGGTACGAGGCCTGCCTGCTCTTGGATGCCCCCTGCTGGCTTTGCATCCCCCCCCCCCCCCCCCGGGCCACACCTCCCTTTGCCCTCATGCCGCTTCTGCCTTCTGCCCCCAGGCTTTCGCCAGCGAGAAGGTGTTTGGGACGCTCAGCGAGAAGCTCTACGACCTGCTGCAGCTGGTGAGCGCAGGCCTGGCCGGCGGGGAGGCAGGGCTGTCCTGTGCTTCGTGGGGCCCTGGGTGAACAAGACTGCTCCTCACATGGCGTCTGCTGGGGCTCAAGGCTCCCCTCCCTCCCCCTGCACTGTCTCTGCCAGGGGTTTCCCCTCCCCCCCTGGCTTCTAGTTGCCCTCAGGAGCTTCCCAGGGGCAGGAGGGCAGAGCAAAGCTGCAGAGGCTGAGGGTTGCGCTCCCCGCCGCAGGAGGGAGCCCTCCCTAGCTGCAGGGAGAGGAGAGAGCAGCTGGGGCGGGCAGAGAGGAACCAGGCAGGCTGCAGCGTAGGTGATGGGGGGGGCCATGCTTAAGCAGACAAGCACATGCAGCTGCTGGGGAGAGCACCTGGAAATTTGCCTATGCCCAGGGATGGCCCTGGGGAGAAGAGGCTGCAAAGGGAGTTTTGCACCCAGTAAATTGTCACGTGAGCCAGGTGCCTGATTCCCATAGGCCCGGGGGAGGTGGGATTCCCATGGGGGATGGGTCCCAAGCCTGCCCCGGGGGCCGGGCGGAACTGGGAGGCAGCAGGACTCCCGGGGGGCTGCGTGGCGTTCCCTTAGACGGGCGCCCTCTCATTCCCCCTCCCCGGCCTGCCTGCCAGGACTGGGAGCAGAGGCAGGAGGAGGACAACTTGCTGATCGAGAGACTCCTGCTGCTGGTGCGCAATGTGCTCCATATCCCCACGGACCCCGAGGAGGAGAAGGTAATGGGAGCGGGAGGAGGTTTCCGTCTCCTTGCCAGGTGTGGCCGAGGGGAGCCCCGGCAGGGGAAGG